CTATCTATCTATCTATCTATCTATCTATCTATCTATCTATCTATCTATCTATCTATCTATCTATCTATCTATCTATCTATCTATCTATCTATCTATCTATCCATCTATCTATCTATCCATCTATCTAATCTAAGAAAATCTTACCCCATCTCTATTTTGAATATTAAGTTTTCTCTTGTGTCAAAGGATTGGGTTTTGATATTCATGGGTATACTTATGTAAATGTGCTTACGTTTTGTTAACGTCATTGATTTTCTTACAAAGCGAGGGATGTGTCGGCAGGAGGCCTTCATCAGCGAAGAAACAACAAGGAAAACAGATTTAAACAAAACTACCACTTAGCTAAAAAGTAGTATCCGAGAGGACATCGAAAGAATTCCTTAAATTTTGTTTCACTCATTTTCTTTTTTTTCTTCCTAACTTGCTTGCAGCGTCTCCACCTTTATTACCATGAATGAGAAATGGACTGTCAAAGATATTGCCTTGTAAACTTTTACCTTTGGGGACCCCCGCGCCAAAAGAACTTAATCTTTGATATTTCACCGCGTGAGTATTTTAGGTTGGATAACAAACAAACTTTATTTAAAAAATTTCTCCCATTAAAATTGGTTGGAAAAAAACGCAAAAGATAAATAGATTTATTTATAAAGTTTGGCCCCGATTATGATATTATTAGTTGGAGATCCACCGATGTTCTAAAAAAAAAAAGGGGGGGGGGGATTATGAAACGTAAGTTTACCAGTTTGGCCAAGATGCATCCATTTAAATCAGCGGTTCTCAACCTGTGGGTCGCGACCCCCTTGGGGGTCCCACGACCCTTTCACAGGGGTCGCCTAAGACCATCGGAAAACACATATACCCTACAGTTATAAAGTATCAACGAAAATAATTGTGTGGTTGGGGGTCGCCACAACATGAGGAACTGTATTAAAGGGTCGCGGCATTAGAAAGGTTAAGAACTACTGATTTAAATAGATGTTAGAGTTGTAAACTGAGACTTCTTGTATGGCTTTGGCTAGCATTAGGAAAATACATTTTTGAACTTTCTTTAAAAAAAAAAAAATTTAATCTGATTTCATAACGTCTTAGGACAATCATAGACACATAGTAGACACACCATCATAGACACATATTAGACACACAATCATAGACACATATTAGACACACAATCATAGACACATGGTAGACACACAATCATAGACACATAGTAGATACACAATCATAGACACATAGTAGACACACAATCATAGACACATGGTAGACACGCAATCAAAAACACATAGTAGACACACAATCATAAAATCATAGTAGACACACAATCAAAAACACATAGTAGACACACAATCATAGAAACACAAGAAACACGAAAAGGACATTTATATATTTTTAGAAACATAATAAAAAAATCCCAGGTTCCAGAATAAGAAGCTATAAACAATTTCGAAAAAGATAGATTAACCGATACTGGTGAAATTCCTGGGGGAAAAAAAAACTGAACTAACATTTCCATTAACTTTTAGATCACATTTAAAAAATTCATAATCTTTATAACTTTGTGGAACAATATACATCTTGCTGGAATATTCTATACTTCCTCTTTTTATAATAATTTTAAAAAAATCAAAAATTTGTAAAAAAAAAAAAAAAAAAAAAAAAAAAAAAAAAAAAAAAAAAAAAATTATTAAAAAAAAATAATAAAAAAAAAAAAAAAAAAAAAAAAAAAAAAAAATTAAAAAAAAAAAAAAATTTAAAAAAAAAAAAAAAAAAAAAAAAAAAAACAAAAACAAACAAAAAAAGTATTTTTATGTCATCATTCTATCAAGACTAAACCATCAAGAAACAAAACAAAAAAAGTATTTTTATGTCATCATTCTAGCAAGACTAAACCATCAAGAAACAAAACAAAAAAAGTATTTTTATGTCATCATTCTATCAAGACTAAAACATCAAGAAACAAAACAAAAAAAGTATTTTTATGTCATCATTCTAGCAAGACTAAACCATCAAGAAACAAAACAAAAAAAGTATTTTTATGTCATCATTCTATCAAGACTAAACCATCAACAAACAAAAAAGTATTTTTATGTCATCATTCTAGCAAGACTAAAACATCAAGAAACAAAAAAGTCCTAACGCCTCAGTTTTCAAATTCAAGTTAAAATAAAGTCACCAGTGGGGAGCCGTTCTTCAAAGTAACGTTTTAATTAGGACTAAGCTAGGAACCCTAAATAATTAATCGGATAAATAGCCAAGTAAAAATGTAAAAAGTTGTCCCATTGAAATCGGTTGAAAAATGTAAGAGATATAGAGCGTGTATAAGGAAAGTGAAATTGTGATCCCTCGTCCCCGAAGGCTGTGAATATTTTGAGTTCAAAACGCTCCAGATTCGTAGCAATTTAGATTTTCAAGTGAATTTGTAATACGTTTAGTTCAGATATATTAGTTATGGGTAACTTTCTTGATATAGCTGATATAAGACAAAATAACTGAATCTTTCTTTTTTTTCTTTTTATTGGATAACGAACACTTTTATGGTTTTAAATATCCAATTAAAAATTAAAATTAGATGACCAATGTCCCCGACCAATTTTTTAAATTTATTTATTATTATTTTTTTTTATATTATTGGTTTTTATTATTTTGAAATCCATTGGTATTTAAAAGGTATAATTCTATATTTACATAAAGCAAGTATAGTCTAAATGCAACATTTTACATAAAAGCTTCCACTGTAGCATTAGACTTCATTTAGGTTCACAGCATTGGCTTTTAGGAAAATACATTGTGGAACCTCCTGCTCACATTTGGAATTTCAATCTGATTTCGAAACATTTGAGGACAATCATACAGACTTATAGGAACTTAAAAAACAATATAAAGGACATGTTTAACACTACCGGGTCAATGTCTGATGTCAGTTACAAATTTGTCAATGCACATTTATTGTGCTTGCAATTTAGGAAATTCGCCGCTCGCTCTTAGCCATGGGAAGATGGTTAAAACCATATTAAAAGGCCTGACGTGCGCTTAAATTTCATTACAGTTGGGGAGAGTTGCACAGTTCGTCAACCCCACTCTCTCGTCCTTGCCCATTTTGACCCAGTGGCGAGACTTAGTCAATGAGACTGGAAAAAGACAAGGATGTAATGGATGACCAGCCGTCTATTTGTGTCTAGCGTCAAGCTCATACTGAATGTAAAAAAAAAAATTGAAATATAATTTGGACTGATCCTTTGTGTAACAATGTTGCTTTTGAGACAATGCCATCCTCGTAAAATGCATCCACCCACTCAAGGGGGCGTAGTTTGACTAAATGCTGATTTGGGGTTAAATCTCAAACTTATGATTCTCCATTCCTGACACGCATCTAATACATAACGTTCGTAATGAAAAAAAAAAAATTAATAATACAACAGCTATGACTGTGAACCCCTAGGTGCCCCACAGCACCCTTTATGCATGCCCCTGAACTATGTGATAACTTTAAAGTACTATTTTTTCTAAAGCACATGGAGTAAAGTTTATTTACAATGGGTGCACCAAACAAAAACGCACCCCAAATAGATGTTTGACTGTGCACAGTTCTGTATTGGATATAATGCTGGTTCAAAATGGGTATACAAAAAAATAACTTTGCTTGAACGTCCCTCGAAGTTGTTTAAAAATACATTTAAAAAAAACAAACTTTAACCTCTACCATGGGCGCCTGCAGGTAGGGGCAAGGTGGGGCACTTGACCCCCCCCCTGGATTGATTGGATACAAAAAATTTAGACAAAAATAGACAAAAAATGTATTAAAGTAAAGAGAAAATAAAGAGAAAGTAACTAAGCGGATGTCCTGTCCGTTCGTTCACCATACAAATACGCTACAGTAAATTAAAACTACATTAAAACATTACTAAAAAAAATTTTGCCCCCCCCCCCCCCCCCTAAAAAGAAAATAAAGAGAAAGTAACTAAGCGGATGTCCTGTCCGTTCCTTCACCATACAAATACGCTACAGTAAATTAAAACTACATTAAAACATTACTAAAAAAAATTTTGCCCCCCCCCCCCCCGGAAAGTAAATGAGGTTCTCGCTGTTACATAAAAAAAAAACTTCGGACATGAAACTCAAACTTAGTAGTTTCAACCTCACATGTCAAGACATGTTTCTCATCAAATAGTCCAATCATATGTTACAAGCATATGTTACAATCATATGTTCCGATCATATATTCCAATAATACATTCCAATCATATTTTACAATCGCATATTCTGATCATATATTATTCTCTCTCAGGGCGAGGACTGAAAGATGTAACAATTCTTTTGTTCCCCAAATTTGTATGAATTAACCCTAGCGTGCTCTCCCCCCGAAGTCACAAATCGAAATGAGAACTAATAAGTCGCTGACATGGCTTAGAGAACTCACTGAATTGCTGTTTTTATGACCAGTGAAATAATTTACTGAAATTTAATTTAATTTGTGTTCAAATTGAGATATTTATGTGCTGAAAATGTACAACGTAATCAAAAAAACATATGTGTTTGTTTGGACCAATGAAAGAAACGTAACTTTCCTTATCTTATTATATTCATATACATTCCAAAGATCATAAAATCATATTTACAATCATATTTTACAATCTTATATTCCAATAATATATTCCAATCATATATCCCAGTCATAATATAATCCAATCATATATTCTAGTCATATGTTACAATCATATGGTACAACTTATGAAAGCATCACGTCTCTGTCCAATTATGGTTTGTTTATTGGTCTGCATAACATTTATTTCGAATTTGTATCATTTGAATTATCTAAATCAAAGCATGATCACCTTAAGAGTTTGCATTGCTTACAGAATTGAAATGAACTTATCCATCAAAATAAAGTACTGTCACCGTCACTACTACAATTGGCAATGTGGAGGTTCTCGTGTTGTCAAGGTTTGGACAGCTTCCTATTCCATCGAAACAGTTCTCTGTACGTCTTTGCAAATTTGGCATTCATCGTGACGTAGATGACGAAGTTCGACGACGAGCTGACCTGGTACAACAGGTTGCTGACGTACATCACAACAATTTTAAACCGACACGACAGCTGGTCGGTCTCCGGGCTGAAGCTGATGAAAGCCTCGAAGGTCGTGGTGGGGAGTAGGACGAACACCAGCGGGACGAAACACACGGCCAGCAGCATCCTCACGGATTTGACCTCCCTAATCCGCCTGGACACGTGGCGGGATGAGGAGGACATTCTGTCCAGGTGTTTGGATGAGGTGGACAGTCGTATTAAGATGACCAGTGAGCAGACGGACACAGTGGTCAACGGAACAGACGACCTGACGTTGCTCAAAACGGCGGCGACGTAGAAATTGATCGCGACGCTGTTGTCGATGTAGAACTGCGTCGGGTGAAAGATGGCGACGGTGACGTTGTTTCGATGGCTGACCCATTCGATGGAGTACATCAGATGGCAGGGCACGACCAGGGCCGTCAGCACCAAGTAGACGGACGCGATCAGACTTTTCATCCGCAGCGGGGTCACGATGCGCGAAACCTGCAAGGGAACGCACACGGCCAAGAGTCGTTCTAGGGCGATGACCATCACCTGGTAGATGGTGACCATCAGCGCTGCCTGGTTCCACGCGCGGATGTATACGACGTAGACGGAGTTGATCGTGGAGGCCAGGTTCCGGTCAAACCTGTCCACCACACTCCAGAGCCGACCCATGGACTGGGTGAAGGAGAAGACAAGGTCCGACACCGAGAGGGACGTGAGGAGGATGTTGGTCGTTTTCGCGAAACCGTGGTGGGTGAGGATGACGATGTTGAGGAGGTTGCCCACGATGCCGCACAGGCAGAGCAGATGGAGGATGAAGCAGTTGATGCACAAGTCCATGACTGACACGACCTCCTGGCTGACGTCGTACCGTAACCCCGTCGGTGTGCTCTGGGCTGTGGTAGATTGATGAAAGCAAGGCGTTCCTGAGTAGGAAACGTTGCTTGTGGCGTGACTGTAGGAGAATGGAGGGATCGGTTCTAAAGACGTGTTGGACAACGTGGGGTAAAGGTTGGGGAAAGCAGTGGCACTGCCGCACTCTTCCGCGACGAACATTAGAGGCGTCTACAATGTGGAATACTGCGTGGGTCTGTCAGAGATAAATTCAAATAAAATAAGAGGATAAAAAAAAGAGATCATTAGGCCGAGGAATAAAGACATGTAAATGTCAAATATTTGACATCTTAGTTTAGGACATAAAGACATGTAAATGCCAACTAGTTGACACCTTAGTTTAGGACCTAACATCTTGATACTAAACTTGCCTGCAGTGAAGATAATCGCATCAAACATGAAGTACGCGTGTACTATAAATGTGCAGGGACTTAATTATTTGATCGATGGGTAAGGGTTAATGTCTGCTTAAGCGACTACTTTGGCTACAATATCACAACACTTCTGACTGCTCTACTGCTCTAGTGTTGAAACAAATAATCTTCAAATTTGGAAGATTATATTAGGATATTAAAGCCAAAAAAGTCTTTCTCCAAGTCAATTTTTTTGTCCACGGCACCAAATGCCTGGTACCAAATGCCTTCATTTGATACAGGCCTTCACATGGTATCATATGAAACCAAATGCCTTCAAATGGTATCATATGTCACCAAATGCCTTCACATGGTATCATATGTCCCCAAATGCCTTCAAATGGTATCATATGTCACCAAATGCCTTCACATGGTATCATAAGTCACCAAATGCCTTCAAATGATATCTATGTCACCAAATGCCTTCACATGGCATCATATGTCAACAAATGCATTCACATGGTATCATAAGTCACCAAATGCCTTCACATGGCATCATATGTCACCAAATGCCTTCACATGGTATCATAAGTCACCAAATGCCTTCAAATGGTATCAGATGTCACCAAATGTCTTCACATGGCATCATATGTCACCAAATGCCTTCAAATGGTATCATATGTCACCAAATGCCGTCACATGGCATCATATGTCACCAAATGCCTTCACATGGTATCAGATGTCACCAAATGACTTCAAATGGCATCATATGTCACCAAATGCCTTCAAATGGTATCATATGTCACCAAATGCCGTCACATGGCATCATATGTCACCAAATGCCTTCATGGTATCATAAGTCACCAAACGCCTTCAAATGGTATCATATGTCACCAAATGCCTTCACATGGCATCATATGTCACAAAATGCCTTCACATGGTATCATATGTCACCAAATGCCTTCAAATGGTATCATATGTAACCAAATGCCTTCACATGGCATCATATGTCACCAAATGCCTTCACATGGTATCATAAGTCACCAAATGCCTTCAAATGGTATCAGATGTCACCAAATGTCTTCACATGGCATCATATGTCACCAAATGCCTTCACATGGCATCATATGTCACCAAATGCCTTCGCATGGTATCATATGTCACCAAATGATTTTGTTTCCTATCGCATGTAACCAAATACCCCCCACATGTGACACATACGTTTACCAAATATGATAACATATTGCATCAAGTTCATGAACATAGTGCTACATGCCATCGCCATAAAGAGGCCATCTTCATAGCTCAGAGTATTGAGTAGCTCAGAGCTCATTGATATTTTGAGATGACAGTCCGCACGTTGAACAAATATCCTGGTTGAATGAGATAGCACTGGTGAGCTAACCATGCTTACTTGTGACAGCACCTGTGATGTAACCGTGCTTATTGAGACAGCACTGGTGAATACACCATGCTAACTCGAGACAGCACTGGTGAACAAAGAATGCTAATTCGAGACAGCACTGGTGAACAAAACCATGCTTACTTGCGAAAATATTGCCGAATCAAATAAACTAAAGCTTAAAGACAAAAATGAAAACTTCTGGGATTTTACCGACAGTTTGAGAACAATTTGTTCAAACTACGGAGATAAAAAAATAAAACTACCCGTCCCGTATGACAACGTTTGGTCCAATAAATACTTAGAGATCATGAAACGTAACATTCTATAGGTAGAATTAGTTTATTGTAAAGCATTCTCATCCATGTTCAATTATGTTCTTTTTTTTTTGTTGTTGTTTATGGTCATACAAGTTTAAAGCAAGCCATAATAATTTCACAAATGCCACAAATGCTAAAAGTACCAGAATTCTTTCACTTCCAAAAGCCCTTATGAAAAGTTCACATTTTTTTACGGACATCCCCCAGTTTCGAATGATTTTTGTTCTGACGAGTCGTTTCTACGAAAAGTTTTTGGGGGGGACTCTCGGGAAATTGAAATACGATTGGTAACCTTGAACTCAGCAATATTTCAGGATAATTTGTAACCCTGATGAGGTCAGAACACTTTCAAAACGATTGGTAACCCTGAGCTCAGCACACTATTCATTGAATATCATTTAACGGCTGCCATGTTTTTAATACTCGAATTGCTCTGTTAGGTCTCCTTGTAACGATGGGGTTCATGTGATATCAAAGTATAAATGAATAACACGGTTAAATATAATTCGTCACCCACATTTGCATAGCGACAGCATTTATTCAAATAACGCCTGAGACAGAAGAGCTAAGCATGGAGCCATACATAATCGTTGAATTGTGTAACCCCATTGGACGCGCAACGATTTTTATATCTTCAGTTTATAATTTAGAAAAAAAAAATTATGTCCCGGTTTTTTTGATGAAGTTTTCCTCCTTGTCTTAAGACATGGGTAATATATTAAATTGTGATCCAAATGTAGCCAAAAGCGTATTATTTTAACATACTAGTTATAGCCGGCCAAAAACAGCAATGCGTGAACTTCCCAACTAGTAAAGTTACTTGACAAAACATGAACTCAAGTAACGCACATTTAAGAGTCCAAATTTTTGCCACACCCCTCCCCTTTATGACACGTTACTGCACACTTTTTTTTCACGCCAATGAAGAATATTAAATATTCTGATGTCCCAACCACGTTTCAACCGAATTTTAATACAGCGTATTTACATTGAGACGAGTGCGTTTTCCAAAAAAAAAAAGAAAAGAAAGTATAACGCACCAAACGCAGTTGCGTTATTTAAAAAAAAAAAAAAAAATATAAAAATCATTTAGCTTAATTATCGGAAAATATATTTTGAACGCTCTCCGGAAATGGAATAAGAATATTAAATATTCTGATGTCCCAACCACGTTTCAACCGAATTTTAATACAGCGTATTTAAATTGAGACGAGTGCGTTTTCCAAAAAAAAAAAGAAAAGAAAGTATAACGCACCAAACGCAGTTGCGTTATTTAAAAAAAAAAAAAAATATATATATATCGTTTAGCTTAGTTATCGGAAATTATATTTTGAACGCTCTCCGGAAATGGAAGTAGTTACACCAGAAGCGTAATATATATACGAGATGTTTGGGGACCAAATAACACTCAGTGGTAAATCTTTTAAATAGACCTTATAAAAAAATCATGGGTTCGCGTTAGTTTTAACGATTTCACTAAATTGACGGAGATGTTTGGAAAGTTTGAGAGACCATTCCAACGTATGCGATGAGTGACTTTTTAAATGCCCGATATTATGTCCTTCCTCTGACTCTTCAATATCAATACATTGATTGATTAATGTATTCGAAGTGACGCTTAGTCATGGTCTTCCTTTCTGACGATTGGGCAAATGTTTGGGGGTGTGGGGGGGGGGGAGGGGGAGGGAAGAGGAGTTCGGGTTGGAAAGCTTCGAGACAAACAATCGATGCGACGCTCGTCTTTTGGTACAATTTGAGATCTTAATGGGGTGTGTGTGTGTCGCGTGGGTGTGTGTGTGTGGGTGTGTGTGAGCCTCACACCGCCGCTTGAACTTTTAATGAGATATTTATCTCAAGATTACATCTCGAATGGTGCAAGAGCCTTCTCGTGTCAGCAAGGTACACGTGTATTTGGTGTTCAGTTTCTGAATAAAGTTTAAGAATTCAAGTTCTGGTTTTCTTCAAGGGGCTGTTCGTTCGAGTGGTCCACTTCTAATGGAGGGGGTGGGGGGGGGAAAGGTCACATTTGTTATTATTCATTCAAGAATCAAAATTGGGTTCAACTGCCAGTAAGATGGCTGAATGGTCACTTGTTCAGGTTTGATGACTAGTGACGTCATCAATCAAGAGTTTTTCTAACTCGGAGCAATGATCCCGAGGACACTCACCAAATCCCTCACTCAATCGCCTCACTCAATCGCCTCACTCAATCCCACTTCAACAGAAACTTGATAATTATCCAAAAAGTCATTTAAAAATCAGAATCGCTTTCTTACTTTCAACGACACAAGGGATGAGTTAAGATTTGCCATTCCTTCCTTTTCCCCACAGAGTCGGCATTTTCATCGATATCATCTGAAGTATTCACAAACTGAAAAAAATTTGATGAAACGTATACAACTTGAAATTACACTTTCCAGAGTGAGTGTATCATTTTCAGATTCGTAAATTTTATATATTCTAATTTTACTTTTACGGATAAGTGGGTGGGGGGGGGGAGAGTGGGGTTTGGAACATCCCCTTCATCCACCCCATTAAATGGATATCCAGGTCCTATAAATTATGCCACGGCAATTTCAATCCTGCAGCAGGTATTGAGATGTGGCCTGGGGGACAATGTCACGCTTCAGTGCGGAAGAAAAGGTTTGAATCAATCGTTCCCCCGCCTTTGTAAAGAGTTGAGCTAACATGGTGCGGGCATGTGAACCCAAGGTCTGACAATCTTCGCTTGTCTCTGCGGCAAGATCAAGACGGGATAATTCGCCTTGATTTAATATATAAAACGTTGAGTCTGATTAATATTCTAGTTTCATGTCGATTGATAATTTTAATGAAATAAAGGATTCTGCCTTGCGAATTGCAATCACCTCGATGTACGGTATGACGGGATGGCATGGAGAGGTTTGAGTTTGTTGTGGGGTTCATCAGTTGGTGGAGTTGGGAGATGATATAAATGGGGCTAAGTATGCTTACACAAAAGGCCGACTGAACTGCGATGAGGGCCCCTGGGTAAGGAATTGTTGAGGTCCCCCATAGTTTCTCTTTAAGCTGTGCAAGCAGTGTAGGAATTACAGTGTACATCTGGGGTGGGGGGGGGTGGGGGGAATGCGTTGTGGATGGACTGCTGCCACCACAGCTGACACCACCGCAAACACCACTGCTTACACTACAGCTGAAGCCACTGTTGACACCACTGCTTAAAGATCTCAGAACTCACATTTTCAAAACTTATAAATTAGAAAAAAAAATAAGATTATAAAATCCCATCTTATTACATCTTCTTTTTGGATTGATCAAGTTCTGTTTCAGTCATGCCACTGAGCCATCGGGCATTGCCTCTTACTTTGAATAAATGATGCCACATAACAGATCTCATCCAACGCGCGATGGACTTTCGGAACAGACCGGTGTCGTTTCGCGAAGTCAAAACTTTTAATTTCACTAGCGGAGGATGGACCAATTTAAGAATTTGTGTAAATCGTTGAGTTAGTTCAGTAAGTTTTTTTGTTTTTTTTTTTTTTTGCCTCAGATGCTAAGAATTTTTTTTAGATGCTATTTTAATTTAATTTTTGTTTACCTAGTTCATGGTCGGAATAGTCAAAATTTATTTTTTAAGGGGGGAAACTCAGACCGGTGTCGTTTCGCGAAGTCAAAACTTTTAATTTCACTAGCGGAGGATGGACCAATTTAAGAATTTGTGTAAATCGTTGAGTTAGTTCAGTAAGTTTTTTTGTTTTTTTTTTTTTTGCCTCAGATGCTAAGAATTTGTTTTAGATGCTATTGTAATTTAATTATTGTTTACCTAGGTCATGGTCGGAATAGTCGAAATTTATTTTTTAAGGGGGGAAACCATATTATGGTATTTTTTAATGTAATATTTAGGTTAGCTCCCATAGACTTGAAACCCACTCTCAAATTTACTGCATTTTGATTCATCTCGTTCCTAAGCTTTTTTTTACGACAAAAAATTACGGGAGGTCTTTATTTAATAACATAAACATATATATAAACGATGGACAGAAAAGACGGCTAGATCTCGTGCCACTATACCATGTCAGCCCCAACTTCCGTAAACTTTGCCATGATAGATTCACTTTCACCCATCTTTCTTTCCACAGCGCCCCTTATCAGATTCGATGCTAAATGAACAGGCTTTTTCGTGAAAACGATCCCCATTCACCTTCTCTGAAATACAACTTTCCTCTGTCCGCCATCACCTTTTACTGCAGTGGTTCTCAACCTTCCTAATGCCGTGAATCTTTAATTCAGATCCTCATGTTGTGGTGACCCCCCATCCATAAAATTATTTTCGTCGCTAGTTCATAAATAAGTGCTTTACTATGGTCTTGGGCGACCCCTGTGTAAGGGTCGTTCGACCCCCCCCCCCCCGAATTGCTCGCAACCCATAGGCTGATAATCGCTGCTCTGCTGAAAAGGTTTCATTAATCATATCACTTGCATGTTATATGCTGTAACTCGAGGGAAAACAATTCCTTGTCACTTTACCATCAAAGCAAAGTTTTTTCCTATCAATCATTTACACGCACTTACGTTTGCATTTATTTAATTGTGATTCATCGTTTGTTAAGAAGCGGTTAAGTCAATGGGTAAATTTCTTGCGAAAACACGTTTCCTACTTCCTTCATTTTCCCCTTTAAAAAAAATATACAATAATTTTATTTTACTGCATCCACAATTACGTCACGAATAAAAAGCACATAGTAAACAGTTACACAATTAATCTCCACACCAAAACATGCAACCATGAACAAATCATATTGCACTCATCTTCCTCTTGAAGAAAACAAGAAAAAATCATTTTTGGGGGTGGGGTGGGGTGGTGCTGAAAAATTTATAGAATTTGTTTTCGTCAACGCTGAGTCAGTGTGCCAAGTTTCAGTTCGAAAAGATGACGGGAAGTGAGTCAATTAGCCTTCCCAAGATTCTGCCTTAAACACATAAACACACGAACTAATGCGAAGTTTATATAAAAGATTTAAAGAGAAGATTGAGTGAGTGACTCTATACTTCAAGGATTGAATCTCTACTTTGGTGATTGAATCTCTACTTTGGTGATTGAATCTCTCTTGAAAAGTACAACTTTTCAATGCTCAACCGAAGGATATTAATTAAAATAAAAAAATAAAAACTCAACATATTTAATACTCAAAGCATCTCAAGTTACGTATTTTTTTATGTAGCGTTAAGAAGATTGTAAGATTTACACCAAGCTCATTATGTGTGGTGTGGAATACTTTGGTGTCTCCCTGTGTGTCAAATAGTTGTGTTTTTCTGTGTGGGAAATACTGATGTTATTTTGCGTGGGAAATATTGATGTTATTTAGTGTGGGGAAATATCGATGTTGCCCTTTGTGTGAAAAAATTGCGTTATTTTTGTGTGTGGAATATTTATGTTATTTTTGTGTGTGGCTTATTTATGTTATTTTGTGTGAGAAATGTTGATGTTATCTTGTGTGAGAAAAGCGTATGTTATTATTTGTGAGAAATATTGATGTTATTCTGTTAATGAAACAATTCACGTGTTGAGGGCGACCGATTGGATCAAGGGGGCCCTCATTCAGCGTTTCCCAAATGTAACTAGATTTATCTGCCACTGGTCCCTGTTGCAAATATCAAAACCCGTCCAAAATTCCGACGAAGTTAAAAGTTTGGGGAAAGGCTGCGCTGTAGCACATAAAAATTGTTGATCTTCTGGAATCATCATAAAAATCTTCCTCGAGGCAACATCTATACAATAATTTTCTGTCATATGAACATAAAATCACCCAATCAAATGCCATTCTTGCCGATTATTACCACTTAAAAAAAAAAAAATATCTGAAATGTGTACTATCCAGCTTAAGATTGTTCCTCTTTAAAGTGTTTAACTTTTTTTTAAAAAAATATATTTTATGTTTAACCGGATATTTTGCCTATAATCGCTCGTCTAGGGCCCTCACATGATCATACCTCCACCCTCCCCCCCCCTCCCACACACACACACTCTTCATCGAGCCCGAGGCCCTCCATTTGCTTTGAAAGCGACATTTTTCCGCGTCTACTGGAACCAGTGAAAGCCGCCATGACAAAGATGGCAGCAGACGATCACAGTGGTCTATCCATAGCGCGCGGTCCCCGAAATGACCCGATAAACAAGAAAGTTCTGTGACCAGAAACTTACGCTCGGCGCAAGGGACGCTCGATAATAGGTGACACACGACAAATGTAAGTTTTTAATTTGTAATATTTTAACAGAATTTTCGTGTTTCTTTTTCTTTCTGCTAGACCTTCTTTTTCTTTCGCCCCCCCCCTCCCCCACCACAGAATCCCCCAATCACCTTTTAAAATACAATTTTACGTTACAGCTAGGCATTTTCGTCAAGTAAATTATGAATTCATCTCTATTTTTACATTTTTAAAAGAAACCTGTAAATGATATTTACACTTTTTAATAAAATATGTTGATGTCAAAGGCAATTTAGCGAAATATTCTTATTCACTTTTTGAAAATAATAATGAAAAGTCCTAAAATAAATACATATTTTGTGATTTTAGATGAATAAACTCATTTTACTTGCCCATTACCCATCCAAGAATCAAATTTGATTACTATTTTCATCATATAAATGGGTTAAGTAAATTTTATCACTGCCTACCTGTAGTATTTTCTTGAAAATATCGATACACATTATTAGAAATTTACCTTTTCCTATGCTGAATTTTTTTTACTCCCCCACCCCACCCCCACCCCACCCCCTAAAAAAAAAAAAAAAACATGTCTTACGTTGAAATTTTTCAAGTTTAAAATTTGTTTATTAATCAATTTTTTTTAGCAAAATGCTAAAAATTGAATATGAACGATGTAATCAAGAGATACTTCCTTTTGTTTGGATAAATTAAAGACTCTTATGTTATATAATACTATATATGTCTACCTCCTTGTGTAACATAGCTCTTTTGAGCTAGACGAGAAAACAGCCATGTGACTTTCCTTATCTTATCATTACGACGGGTACAATTCAATCTTGACACTTGATCATCAACGCCGGCCTGATGTGTAATTCTAATGGTCTCACAAAGGTGGGCGTAGTGCACACTTGTTTTCTCATCATTATGACAGTCGTAGTTCACACTTGTTATTTCATCATTCAGACAGGCTTAGTTTACACTCATAATGTAATCATTAAGACAGGATTAGTTTTACACTCATAATGTCATCATTAAGACAGGATTAGTTTTACACTCATAATGTCATCATTAAGACAGTCGTAGTTCAAACTTAAAATTTCATCATTAACAAAGGGCGTAGTGCACACTTGTTATTTCATCATTAAGACAGGCGTAGTAAACACTTGTTATTTCATCATTAAGACAGTTGTAGTTCCCACTTGTTATTTCATCATTAAGACAGGCGTAGTCCACATTTGTTATTTCACCATTAAGACAGGCGTAGTTCACACTTGTTATTTCATCATTAAGACAGGCGTAGTAAACACTTGTTATTTCACCATTAAGACAGGCGTAGTTCACACTTGTTATTTCATCATTAAGACAGTCGTAGTTCACACTTGTTATTTCATCATTAAGACAGGCGTAGTTCACACTTGTTATTTCATCATTAAGACAGGCGTAGTTCACACTTGTTATTTCATCATTATGACAGGCGTAGTCCACACTTGTTATTTCATCATTAAGACAGGCTTAGTTTACACTCATAATGTAATCATTAAGACAGGCGTAGTTTACACTAGTTATTTCATCATTAAGACAGGCGTAGTTTACACTCATAATGTCATCATTAAGACAGGATTAGTTTTACACTCATAATGTCATCATTAAGACAGTCGTAGTTCAAACTTAAAATTTCATCATTAACAAAGGGCGTAGTGCACACTTGTTATTTCATCATTAAGACAGCCGTAGTAAACACTTGTTATTTCACCATTAAGACAGGCGTAGTTCACACTTGTTATTTCATCATTAAGACAGTCGTAGTTCACACTTGTTATTTCATCATTAAGACAGGCGTAGTTCACACTTGTTATTTCATCATTAAGACAGTCGTAGTTCACACTTGTTATTTCATCATTAAGACAGGCGTAGTAAACACTTGTTATTTCACCATTAAGACAGGCGTAGTTCACACTTGTTATTTCATCATTAAGACAGTCGTAGTTCACACTTGTTATTTCATCATTAAGACAGGCGTAGTTCACACTAGTTATTTCATCATTAAGACAGGCGTAGTCCACACTTGTTATTTCATCATTAAGACAGTCGTAGTTCACACTTGTTATTTCATCATTAAGACAGTCGTAGTTCACACTCGTTATATCATCATTAAGACAGGCGTAGTTCAGACTTATTATATCATCATTAAGACAGGCGTAGTACATACTTATAACCGATATATATTTTGTTGCCTTTATATATTGTAGGACATTTCCTATTTTTGGGTCTTGGGAAATCCTTGTTTAGTAACTCAATCTCATAGAATATCCCTGCTAAATGCGTAGATGTAATCAAGTCGAGTGTCTGACATTTGATGTAGTGTTTGAAATAAATAAATTTGTACAAAAATATTTGAAGATTTGTTCTACGATGTTGTTGCGTTCCCCCCCCCCCCTTTTTACAATTTGAATAACTGTGTTTTGGAATTTATTCTCAATCGTAGAATTGAATTGTTTAAGGTTGGGCTAAAGCACCCCGTCAATACCTGAATAATGGTAATGAAACTGATAGCTCGAGAATCACAAATTTTGACATTTTGATAAACAAACAAACAAAAACAAAATAATGCGTTTTAAATGTTGTCTGACCTGTTAATTTTTTTTTTAAAACTCTATTTGATTGATTAGATAAAATGTCATCAACAATTTAATCTCATGTTATTTTCTTATTGTCAGTGATTCTTTGTCTCGTTTCAAAACTTTTCATGATTCGAGTTTTAAAAAGATTAAAATCCCAGCCAGGTTCCATTTTTTTCTTATTTAAATCTATGATTTTTTTGGTAGTTTTCATGTGTGATAGACATACAGCGACGGTGAATACAGGACGATGTGAGATGGGAAATATTGGACATTGGGAGATGTGAGATTGGAATACAGGACGATGTGAGATGGGGCTATTGGGCATTGGGAGATGTGAGATGGGAATACAGGACGATGTGAGATGGGGCTATTGGGCATTGGGAGATGTGAGATGGGAATACAGGACGATGTGAGATGGGGAATATAGGACATTGGGAGATGTGAGATGGGAGATACAGGACGATGTGAGATGGGGAATATTGGACATTGGGAGATGTGAGATGGGAATACAGGACGATGTGAGATTGGGGCTATTAGACATTGGGAGATGTGAGATGGGAATAAAGGACGATGTGAGATTGGGGCTATTGGACATTGGGAGATGTGAGATGGGAATACAGGACGATGTGAGATGGGGAATATTGGACATTGGGAGATGTGAGATGGGGAATACAGGACGATGTGAGATGGGGGCTATTGGACATTGGGAGATGTGAGATGGGAATACAGGACGATGTGAGATGGGGGCTATTTGACATTGGGAGATGTGAGATGGGGAATACAGGACGATGTGAGATGGGGCTATCGGGCATTGGGAGATGTGAGATGGGGAATACAGGACGATGTGAGATGGGGAATATTGGACATTGGGAGATGTGAGATGGGAAATAAAGGACGATGTGAGATGGGGCTATTGGGCATTGGGAGATGTGAGATGGGGAATACAGGACGATGTGAGATGGGGGCTATTGGACATTGGGAGATGTGAGATGGGAATACAGGACGATGTGAGATGGGGGCTATTTGACATTGGGAGATGTGAGATGGGGAATACAGGACGATGTGAGATGGGGAATATTGGACATTGGGAGATGTGAGATGGGGAATACAGGACGATGTGAGATGGGGAATATTGGACATTGGGAGATGTGAGATGGGAATACAGGACGATGTGAGATGGGGAATATTGGTACTGCTAGTTTTAATGGGGAGTTCCTAACTGCTAGTTATGGCGATATTTTTCAGTAAGGCTTGTTTTGGCGGGGGTTTCAGTGTTGCTAGATTTTGCGGGAGTTATAGTACTTGTAGTTTTGGTGAGAGTTTCAGTAGTTCTAGTTTTAGCGCATGCTGTATTTCCATATTGTCAGGAGACATTTCAAATTTGCCTACAGCCTTTTAAGACAAAGAAAAATAGTTTATTATTGAAGGTTACCTGACTTCCAAGATATATAAACCCACTTAATTGATAATTCTTCTCATTGCCACTATTGCTTTTTTTTTTTAAAGCTGTGTATTGTCTAGAGGTTAAATTAATGCACACGTTTCTCTCATATGGCCACACACCACAGTCACGTGATGGCCTTATCCAATGAAGCAACAGATCTTATGTCACAGAGCACACGATTAGCATATTCCTTGAAAGTTCCAAAGAAATTTACGCTTCCCCTTCTGCTGCTCGTGAGCTTGGCGCACGTGGCTACGGGTCAAGGACAGAGACATTCATGGGAGGCACCCGGATGCCATCTTGTGGGTACGTGTTCTTTCTGTGACTACATTAACAATTGATTTCCTCTTTTATAAAAAAAATAATAAAAAAATATCACCCAGCAGCCCTTCTATGTACTGCTTCTTCTAGATTTTGAGGGCCCACGATCAATGCATTGATCATTCTGGCTTCTAGATACAATGCCTTCATCGGGACAACGTCTACATTTGTATTTTTAAAAAATCATCATTAAAACTGAAAATGTATTGTTTTATGGACACAAATTATTTTTCTGTGTCGATTTGATCTTCTATTCAGCCAAGGAGTGTGACTTATTTTTTTTTTTGAATGATTCTTTAAAAAAAAAAAATTATTGGACATGAATAAGGTTTCACTTAAAGGAGTCTTCTCTTCCGTCTGCCAGGACACACAAGGCCGGTGACCATACCAGGCTGTGGGCCGTTTGCGGTGACCACGAATGCGTCCCGCGGGTTCTGCTGAGTGTGACTTATTTTTTTTTTTTGAATGATTCTTTAAAAAAAAAAATTATTGGACATGAATAAGGTTTCACTTAAAGGAGTCTTCTCTTCCGTCTGCCAGGACACACAAGGACGGTGACCATACCCGGCTGTGTGCCGTTTGAGGTGACCACGAATGCGTGCCGCGGGTTCTGCGTGTCGTACGCCATCCCGTCCCCTTCGCACACGCTGGCCTTCAACCCCAACTTCATCATCACCTCCAGGGCGGAGTGCTGCGGGTTTCTGGACACCCATGATGTAAGTCATGTGTTGGTACTTAGTGATACCCACGATGTAAGTCATGTGTTGGTACTTAGTGACACCCACGATGTAAGTCATGTGCTGGTACTTAGTGACACCCACGATGTAAGTCATGTGTTGGTACTTAGTGACACCCACGATGTAAGTCATGTGTTGGTACTAAGGGACACCCACGATGTAAGTCATGTGTTGGTACTTAGTGACACCACGATGTAAGTCATGTGTTGGTACTTAGTGACACCACGATGTGAGTCATATGTTGGTACTTAGTGACACCACGATGTAAGTCATGTGTTGGTGCTTAGTGGCACCCACGATGTAAGTCATGTGTTGGTACTTGGTGACACCCATGATGTAAGTCATGCGTTGGTACTTAGTGACACCACGATGTAAGTCATGTGTTGGTACTTGGTGACACCCACGATGTAAGTCATGTGTTGGTACTTAGTGACACCCACGATGTAAGTCATGTGTTGGTGCTTAGTGACACCCATGATGTAAGTCATGTGTTGGTACTTAGTGACACCACGATGTAAGTCATGTGTTGGTACTTAGTGACACCACGATGTGAGTCATATGTTGGTACTTAGTGACACCACGATGTAAGTCATGTGTTGGTGCTTAGTGACACCATGATGTAAGTCATGTGTTGGTACTTGGTGACACCACGATGTGAGTCATATGTTGGTACTTAGTGACACCACGATGTAAGTCATGTGTTGGTACTTAGTGACACCACGATGTGAGTCATATGTTGGTACTTAATGACACCACGATGTAAGTCATGTGTTGGTACTTAGTGACACCACGATGTGAGTCATATGTTGGTACTTGGTGACACCCACGATGTAAGTGACACCCTTTATGTAACTCATATGTTGGTATTTAGCAAAGTCTCCTATAACAAACACAACTTCTCACATTGTTAAAATTCATTAATTAATTGTAATACGGGTGTGTGGAAAATGAGGATTTTAAAAAAAATCTTTATTAAAATCCATCACTACTATAAAATTTCTTTCTGATCTGATTAAGCAACTTTATTTCATCTTCCCTTTTACCCAACAAATTCATTTCATCTTCCCTTTTACCCAACAAATTCATTTCATCTTCCCTTTTACCCAAGAAATTCATTTCATTTTACCTTTTACACAACAAATTCATTTCATTTTACCTTTTACCCAACAAATTCATTTCATTTTACCTTTTAATCAACAAATTTATTTCATCTTCCCTTTTACCCAACAAATTCATTTCATTTTACCTTTTACCCAACAAATTCATTTCATTTTACCTTTTAACCAACAAATTCATTTCATCTTCCCTTTTACCCAACAAATTTATTTCATTTTACCATTTACCCAACAAATTCATTTCATTTTACCTTTTACCCAACAAATTCATTTCATATTACCTTTTACCCAACAAATTCATTTCAATTTACCTTTTAAACAACAAATTCATTTCATTTTACCTTTTACCCAACAAATTCATTTCATTTGACCTTTTACCCAACAAATTCATTTCATTTTACCTTTTACCCAACAAATTCATTTCATTTTACCTTTTACCCAACAAATTCATTTCATTTTACCTTTTACCCAACAAATTCATTTCAATTTACCTTTTACCCAACAAATTCATTTCATATTACCTTTTACCCAACAAATTCATTTCAATTTACCTTTTAAACAACAAATTCATTTCATTTTACCTTTTACCCAACAAATTCATTTCATTTGACCTTTTACCCAACAAATTCATTTCAATTTACCTTTTACCCAACAAATTCATTTCATTTTACCTTTTACCCAACAAATTCATTTCATTTTACCTTTTACCCAACAAATTCATTTCAATTTACCCTTTACCCAACAAATTCATTTCATTTTACCTTTTACCCAACAAATTCATTTCAATTTACCTTTTACCCAACAAATTCATTTCAGTTTACCTTTTACCCAACAAATTCATTTCAATTTACCTTTTAAGCAAAAAAAAATTTATTTTCCCAAATTACAAAACAAAATTCGATGTCACCATATGTAAACATTTCTTTGTCAACTTTTGTTAACTGTCATGGTGTCGTTTCTGAAAAATCAACAAGCCAACATAAAATTACCCACACATATGCACGAATAGTATTATAGCAGTCTAATCCCTGATTAAATCAGCATTACGACAGTTTACCTGGATAACGTTCCTAATTTACAGCAGGATCGAAGTCAACATTTCTGAGATATGGATAGAACAACCTGGTATATAACACTGTGCACACTGTTTGTGCATTCAAGGTTTTGTTTGTTTGTTTTTTCATAATTATTTTATCATTTCAATAACATTCAAGAATTGCCATGTTGAAAATTTGAAACGTTGAAATCTATTTGTTTGGATACAGGAATGCCATTCGCCTGTTTGAATTTGCTGTTTTAGCTGAGAGCTAGTAAGAGATTTTATTCTGTCGTAGTTTTGTCCCCACAATTTGAATCGTCCCGGGTAGTCAGCTTCTGCTTTCCGGCGCTGAGCACTTCTATAAAAATCCCGCGCAAAGTATTTTCTATCAACCCATATCAATGCTTATCTTTTATCTGCTCTTCCAAACTTATGCTATACACTTTCCCCGAAAGTTCTTTTTTTTTTTTTTTTTTTTCCTGTGTCTTTTTTTTTTTTTTTGTTTTTTTTTTTCCCCGAAAGTTTTTTTTTTTTTTTTTTTTTGGTCCTGTGGCTCTATTTTATTTTTCTAACAAAGATTTCCGTGATGGTTTGTTTCCACCGTAGAGTCTGAGCCGTCTCAACCTTACAATTCAACTACAACAACAACACAGTGAGCTTGTGGAGTTTTGTTTGTTTGTTTGTTGTTGTTTTTTTCGTAATCGCATACATCGTTGGCATCCGATTCCGAGCTTGCAGGTGAGTCTGAGCCGTCTCAACCTTACAATTCAACTACAACAACAACAACACAGTGAGCTGGTGGAGTTTTTTTTTTTTTTTTCGTGATCGCATAAATAGTTGGCATCCGATTCCAAGCTTGCAGGCGAATCATGTTTTCGTCTGTGTCATCATCACCAACTCTCCCGGCTGCTTGACATAGGCACCATGTCACGGGCAACTGCAGCCACCGTCATTTGAGTAGAGTGGTCTTTGTAGAAAGAGGAGAGACAGAGTTTTGCGGTTTATTATATCAGGATTATTATTTTTTCCCCCGACGCCATTATTTTCAGATAGAATTCAATCGAGAAGCTCACAGTTGAAGCATTTTAATTTGATCTTTGAGCAAATCTAATGCGTGAAGCAAGTCTGGTGTATGGAGCAAGTCTGATGTGTGAAGCTAGTCTGATGTGTAGAGCAAGTCTGATGTATGGAGCAAGTCTGATGTGTGGAGCTAGTCTGATGTGTGGAGCAAGTCTGATGTGTGGAGCAAGTCTGATGTGTGGAGCAAGTCTGATGTGTGGAGCTAGTCTGATGTGTGGAGCAAGTCTGATGTGTGGAGCAAGTCTGATGTGTGGAGCAAGTCTGATGTATGGAGCTAGTCTGATGTGTGGAGCTAGTCTGATGTATGGAGCTAGTCTGATGTGTGGAGCGAGTCTGATGTATGGAGCAAGTCTGATGTATGGAGCAAGTCTTATGTGTGGAGCGAGTCTGATGTATGGAGCAAGTCTGATGTATGGAGCAAGTCTTATGTGTGGAGCGAGTCTGATGTATGGAGCAAGTCTTATGTGTGGAGCGAGTCTTATGTGTGGAGCGAGTCTGATGTATGGAGCAAGTCTTATGTATGGAGCAAGTCTTATGTGTGGAGCGAGTCTGATGTATGGAGCAAGTCTGATGTATGGAGCAAGTCTTATGTGTGGAGCGAGTCTGTGACACTGAACGCTATACATTGTGCTATTATGTTAGTCTGTTGTTTGAAGTTTTTGTCTTCCGTTTTGTTTGACTCTGGTGTGGTTGATTTTTTTTTGGTTAGGGCGTGTGTGGGTTTGGAATGCACTCGCATTAATTTGATCAATTGACGGAAACAAGGAAATCTGTTTCAATACTGTTGCCCAGGGGAGGCCATATGTAATCCATGGGGGGAAGGGGGGGTGAGAGAATTTGCGATGGCTTGATGGCTTTCACGTCTGTGTTGAGGAGAGTCAATCCAACCGTGTCACGACCTTGTATAACTCGGTGTCCCTCACGTGACTTAATGTCATTACTTCCATCGGATTGCGTGGCCCGGAGCTGCCCGCTCTCCCGTCACCCAACAGTTACAAAATCGAAGCCATTATGTTGCATAAGCTTTAGTTTGTGTTTAGATTATTTTCTTTTCGAAGGATGTCTACCATATCTTTTATTTGCTCTAAACGTCACTCCTTGAAGGTAACTTATTTAGATCACCCACCTTTCGAGGTATTTAAGCTTGGAGGGGGTTGGGGTGTGAGGTTATGTTAACAATAGTTCACTTCACATATTACCAACAGGCATCGCCACTTCGTATAAGAACGCATACCAACTCACCTCAGATATCCCCACTTATATAAAGATATAGGTGGCCTAAAATTTTCCGACACATGTCACCAGAGAATCACTAATCAAATATCTCACTTATTACTCCCACGAATTTCCCCTTAAGTGTTTAAACAACATATCACATTATTATTGTTATGTCCTTCCCCACGCAACGATGGCCAAGGCAACCTTCGACTTGAGCAGTAGTCTCGACTTGTGGTGTATTTTGTTTCAATGAGGGAGGGTTGCTCAACTTGTCCATGCCTATCTGATCCAATGGCAAGACTTGAGCAGTGTGACGTAAATGGTTTACTGGTTTCTCTATGCGTTCTACGTTGCCGGTACTGTCAGAATGTTCACCGTGTCAATGTCATATCGGCTACAGGGCTCCGTCTCCAGGTTTGATTTCAGAGTTTGCGTTTTCTTAGATGTGCTGCCGTCCTAGATTCTCGATTCCCATCCACCTGGGGGTGCTGATGATATTTTTTTGCATTTGCTTGGATTGAACTCGAGACCACTAGCCTGGCTTTGACGTTGTTTTGACCACTCGGCCACCAATACATATTAATACATAAATCAAGACATGCATCACCACATGCATCAACATTAACATCATCACCCATATAACCCCATTTATAACCGAACATAACACATATCAACACACATATCACTAGCTACCTAACCAACCAAATCCCCCCCCCCCCCCCCCCCCCCCCCCCCAATTTCACCACAAAATAATGTATCCCCACCCGCATCACCACATATTGTACAAGCCAAACGCTCATACAATTCAATTACCAGATCAACACCTATATCACACCACAGGCGTCAGGTAACTCCAACTCTCTGTTTTTGTCTCTGTCCCCAGGTCAGAGTATGGGTGGCTTGCCGTGATGGCTACCAGCAGAAGACATTCAAGTCTGCCCGAAGCTGCGCCTGCTCCATATGCCGACGCGAGCAGTGATGGTGGCTGGCCGAGCAGGGATGGTAGCTGACCGAGCAGTGATGGTAGCTGACCGAGCAGTGATGATAGCAGACGTGAGCGGCGATGATGGCAGACGTGAGCGGCGATGACATCCAAATGGACCACACGATAACGTTGGCACGGTTTACATTACGCATTGAGATGAGAAGGAGCCAAACGACCACGTTGATGAAATAACACCATTAGATTAGATACTCGACAGAATTCGCTTTGGTTGTTCCAGTGTCTCATGCACTGGCTGGCTGGCCCGCCTGTGTTAGCGTCCATTTAGTTCATAAATCGTGAAGTGTCTCCCTTGAAATTTAGCTTGTTTTCGGCCTCCATTTCATTGAGACTAAGCATTGAATCTGTCTAGCATCCAGGAAATAAAATATTCTCTGTTACGTATCATACGCGAAGATATGTGTATGACAATTTTCTTTCATGTGTTTCGTAAGCATGGAGAAATAAATTAAACTCATTTATTTAGAGAACTTTTTGTGTTAAAATTTATTGGTGTCAATTTCTACATATACCGGTTGTTAATTTTAACATATACTAGTTATCAATTTCTACATATACCAGTTATCAATTTCTACATACAACAGTTATCAATTTCTACATATACCAGGGGTTAATTTCTACTCATATATGTTATCAATGTAGTAAGAACTTTGACACTTATTTTAACATCATGTGGAAAATGTTAACTTCATTATTTAAACACAGACTATGTAAATAATTCACCACATCAAAAAGATTGACGCACTTCACTCATCCAAATTTTTTATTAGAAATGTAAAAGAAAATATGAAGAAAATAATTAAATGCACTGTTTTTAGTTGAAAAAAACAACAACTAAGAACATGATAAGTACATTGTATAAACGTGTGGATCTATTTCCTCCCTTATTTCTAGATATGCACCCTAAGCTGTTCCCCCCCCCCCCCCCCTTTTTTTTT